CCCCGGGGCCCCCCAACCTTGGGGCCAGCCGGCACTGCTTTCCCCTTCCCCTCCCCCTCCCCCTCCTCCTCCTCCTCCTCCTCCTCCTCCTCCTCCTCCTCCCCCCCCCCCCCCTCTTCCTCCTCTGGCATCCCGGGTAGCTTGGCGTTCCCCAGAGGAGAGAAAGTTGGGACTTGGCGCCAAAAGACGCCCCCGGGCGCGGCTGCGAGGCTGCTGGAGAAAGTGAAGGCTGTAGGAGGCGGACTCCGAGAGGCCGGGGCAGGAAGTGCTCCTCTAGCTCCTGCTAAGTCTGCACAGATATTCCGCTCCAAATCTGGGAGCATCCGGCGCAGCCTCGCCAGCAACATCAGGACGAAACCCGGTAGCTCTTTGCCTGTTCACTTCGGGCTGAGGCTTGTGAGCACCGTAACCTGCGGGTTAGTTCGGTTGTTTGGGGATTTTGAATGATTCTGTTGGTCATTTTGTTTCTCCTTTGCCTTTTGATTTATGCGTTCTTCCAACTTTCCTTACCTCCTGCGAGGAGGACTTGACGTCTGACACCCCCCTCTCCCCCCCCCCCCGCCCCCTTGTATTTTGCACCACCCTGCTGAGAGCATGATTTCGATTTTCGTCCCTTGGCGACTTTAAAGACTGCCCAGAGCAACAGGAAAGAGGAGCCCTCCCACCTTTAAATGCTACTTTCTTGCAATCCGTTGTTATTTTTAAGGTCCAAATGTAGAAATTTGAGAGTTGTGAAATGGAGTTATTGGAAGGCTGGCCGTGAGTTAAAGGAAAATTAGATTTCATCTTTATTGGCCTTGCTGTAGAAAACCTAATACATTTTTCTTCTGCTTCTGTTTAAATGTAAGAGTAGACACTGAATTAAATCTTTGGAGACTTGTATAAAAGGCTATTTTGTAGGTCATTGGATGATGTATGTCAATTGCTTTTCTCCTGAATTGGGATTGCCTTGAGGATTCTGTTTGGGGCCTACCTACTAATTTTTTGTTCAGCTCACAACGTCTTTTTTCCTGATAAATGAAATGATGTGTGTTGTTGGAGAACCCATATTGCTCTCTGCAGTGTGGGAATTATCCACAGGGTAAAACTTTCCATGAACAGTCTTGGATACCAGCTTCATGGTCGTTTCTCCTGTAATCTCAGGGAATTTCTAGATAGCGCAAGTCACTGATGACCTTAGTTACTTTCTGAAGTGCCCAGCACTTCTCTTTGGTGACTCATTTGGTAAACTATAATGGCAGGAATCGTTCATTTTCTTGGCTTCAAATTTGGAGTTGTAGCCTTAGCCCAGAAATTAATGGAGGCAGGATTCATACCATTGCTAGTAAGTTTGGCTATGACAAATGCACAAGCTATGTGAAAAAACAAACATCTTTCCATAACTGTCAGAGGGGAAGAAGAGGAAATATTTTATCATGTCTTTATTTTGGAGACTAACATGACTATATTAGGTGGGAAAGAAATGTCAGATTATTTTCTTTAAGGCTTTTATTTTTAAAAAAATACATTTTATTGATTTTTTACAGAAAGGAAGGGAGAGGGATAGAGAGTTAGAAACATGAGAGAGAAACATTGATCAGCTGCCTCCTGCACACCCCCCACTGGGGATGTGCCTGCAACCAAGGTACATGCCCTTGACCAGAATCGAACCTGGGACCTTTCAGTCCACAGGCCAATGCTCTATCCACTGAGCCAAACCGGTTAGGGCATTTTTTTTTAAGACTTTTAGATGTGTAGGTTTATCCCCTACCCCCCCATTTAGGAGTTCACATTTATGTGTGACTGGGTTTCAGGATGGGAAAAAAAGTGTTTTGACAAAAGGAAAAGCTAAAGTTGCTTTGACCTATAATGATACTGTGGCTATTCATTTTATCCAGTGATAGTACAGAGAAACTTCCTTGATAATTCTTGTATGCCATTAACATTCTATCAGAATTCAATGTTAAGAGTCCATCCTGAGGACCATAAAGAAATAATGCCACTTCATAACTGTTCGTGACAATCACATTAATAAATTGTTCCTGGAGGCTTGGCCAGTGTGGCTCAGTTGGTTGGAGCCTTGTCAGGTGCACAGGAAGGTTACCCATTTGTTCCCTAGTAGGGGGAAATATCTCTCTCACATTGATGTTTCTCCCCACCCCCCATCCCCAACCCACCCTCCTTCTTCCCTCTCTAAAATCAATTTAAAAAAAGATAGTTCTTGGAATGTGTTATATATGTACTCATATAAACATTTATCTTTGTACATTTATAGTAATGTAAATATTTAAGTCTGAGAGCTTAAAAACTTTTATTTGCGTACATGTTTTTTAACATCTAGCAGTGCCAACCACATTTGCCAAATGAGCATCAGCCATAAATTCATGCTCTGGCACATTACATATAATAACTCTTCTAAATGGCTCCATGGTGAAACATCATAGATTAGCATTTTTCATGAGAGATTTGTTGTTTTAACTTTTTTGTTGGATGGATTAAGTAATTTAGGAACAAAACTGTGGCCCCTGGCATGTCAAGTATGAATTCATGGCTCCTTATCCCTGTAAGAGGCATGTGTCTGTGATGAGCTTTATTTTCTCATTGCTCTTTACTGTAATTCCTACTTTCCACCGCCACCCCAATCCTTTCATTACTAGGAAAGTCTAGTAGGCTCCCTGGGTGGGTGGAGGTAGGGGAAAGGGGAAACCTGCAATAATGTCAACATTAAAAAATTTTAGTTAAAAAAATAAATAGAAAGTCTAGGCTCCTTCTTGCTGGTTTGTTTTCCTTGGAGAAATTCTAGTAACTTTCAGGCCAGGAATAGGTAGTTCACGTTTGTTTGACAAATATTTTGAGTGTCTTTTAAGTGATAGACATGGTGGTAGGCCCTGAGTATATGTAGAATGATATCCCTTTTTGCAAGGAGCATACAATTTAGGAGAAGATAGCTGGTAACCAATAATTACAACATACTGTGTTATATGACAGGGATATGCAGAATTTTATGGTTGGAAGCAGAGAGGGGGAGGGTAGTTGACCAAGATTTGGGGTCTTGGGGGCAGGGGAATGTCCTAAAATACATCTTAGCGGGTTACTTGAGTTAATATTAAAAAATAGATAGGCTCAGCATCGAAGGTTCGAGAGTTCCATTCCTGGTCAAGGGTACATACCTTGGTTGCAGGTTACATCCCTGGCCTGGTCGGGCTGTTGCAGGGGGCAACCAGTTGATGTGTCTTTCTCACTCTGATGTGTCTTCCTCCCCCTCCCCCTGACTCTTCCCCTCCCCCTCTCAGTAAAAGTGAAATTAATCTTAATATATTTTATTTAACCTGATATATCCAAAATATTATCTTTTTGGAATGTAATCAATATAAGAAAGTATCATTGAGATATTTGATATTTGCTTTTTAATACTAAATCCTCAGAATCTGGTATGTGTTTTGCATTTATACCACATCTCAGTTTGGGCTAGTCACATTCAAGTACCGGGCACTCAATAGTCACATGTGGACAGAACAGTTTTAAAACAGGGGCTGATGAAGTGGTAAGAAACTAAATAACTGATGCCTTATGAACCAAACTAAGGAGCTTTAACTTTATTTCGAAGGCTGTGAAATTTAGTGGGGGGAAATATAATGCTGTGATAGAATTAGATTTGTGTTTTAGACCTATCATTGGCTGTGAAGTGAATGCTGGATTAGAGAAGAGCAAAACTAGAAGCAAGACCAGTTAGGAAGCTGTTCATGGTGAAAAATAATGAATGTAGAAGAGGGGGTGGATGTATGAGAAATTTAGGAAGTATTGTCAACAGGACAGGGTAAATAATCAGATTATGGGGTTGAGCAAGATTGAAAATTTAGGATATTTCCCACATTTCTGTAGTGAACTGCTGAATGGGTCAGGCAACTGAAGAGAAGCCAGCCATCTGTGCCAGGCAGACCAAAGATGAGGGATGCTACTTAACATCCTATAGCAGAGAGCAATTCCTACAATAAAGAACTTCCAGTCCAAAAGATCACTGCTGCCAGATGCTCTTTTGGAGGGCAGTGCTAGAAGATATATGCATGTGTACTGGTACTAATCTATGTATCCATACATACCTATAGTCATTTCTATATGTAAATATAGATATGCATTCATATTGATATCTCTGATTCTAATTGGCTATATTTTGATCCTTCTGGGCTTGCTGTTGGATTGGAAGTGGAATGTGAAAAGAGAGGAGTCAATGACTCCAAGGTTTATGGCTTAAGCAACTGGAAGGATGGAGTTGTCATTAACAAAGCAGTTTTCTGGGGAGAGTTCAGGAGTTCTGTTCTAGACTGGCTAAGTTTTTGAGATGTCTAAAGACATAATAAAAGAGATGTCAAGTCAGCAATTGAACAAATGAATCTGAAGTTCAAAGGAGAATGGTCCAGGTTGCATACATTTGGAAGCTGTCAGTACACTAGTAGATGAGATCTCCCAAGGAGTAAGTGTAGATCAAGAAGAGGTTGATGGCACTGGCTGGGTGACTCGGTTGGTTGGACCATCATCTTGTACACCAAAGGTTGCAGGTTCAGTTCCTGGTCAGAGCACATATGGGAGACAACTGATTGATGTTTCTATCTCACATCCATGTTTCTCTCCCTTCCTCTTTCTAAAATTTTTTTAAAAAAAAAATCAATAAATATATCCTCCGGTGAGGATTAAAAAAAAGAGAGAAATTGAAAGAATGACCTCTGGGGCATTCCAGTCAGAGATTAGGAAGAGTAGTCCTGTAAGATGGTAAGGATTGGTAGTGTGGCTATAGGGTGGATTTCA